TGTTATCATCGAATAAAAAGCAAATTAAGATGAATAGAAGCTTGTTTCTTAATACCAAAATGAGCGAGAAAAAAAAATAACTATCTCTAAATTTTAACACTATTATCGCTAAGTATCTAAATAGCAGATGGACAATTTTATCATCAGACTATAACAATGGAACGTCCCTGTTATTACTTGTTTCTCATTTTGTATGAGGCCATAATTTTATGTCGGGCCATAATGCTTGCTCCTCAGCACATTTAAAATGTTATTTTAATGATGGTGATACAGAATCATGAGACTATTAGTATTTCGGCTGTCGGGCCACGAAGATAATTTTAAAACAGGTTTATGCAATATGCATGCTACTTATTCGACCCCATACGGAAGCTTCAATAGTAATACGATAAGCCCTTAACTTTATTAAGTGACCAATACTTTTAATAAAAGGCTTGTGGCGATTTCGTGTTGCCACCACCATTCACCAAATATAAGTATAACAGAAGGAATAACGAAAATTATAAATCTACTGTCCTACTTTCCAAAATATCTCCCGTTCAAAATTAATAACATTAACCATCCACTTTTGCGGTTTTAACCCGGTTTGTTGCAAGGAAGTGAATGATGAAAAATGTTGGCAATTTTTCATCATAATAATATGATAATGATTACGATCCGTAGCTCAATCAATAATACTTAATATAATGAGCAGTGCTGATTTAGCACTCCACAACAATAGTCGATATGGCAGACAATATCCCAAGATGCCTTACACTCCTCGTCAAACTCGCATAAGGTTACTAATACAATGTATCTAAAATTGTCACATGTTGTGAAATTAGACTTGAAGGTGCATCGTCCCCCCAATAAAAGCTGGAAGTAAAATGTTTAAAATAGATCTAATATAGACAATTAGACATATATGACACTAATTATAAGGAAGGACAGCACAACCATACGATTAGTTCAGATCTCATATATTCATAAGTTTTCGGTGACTTAATCTTCTTCTGGAGATCTACATTCTACAGGCTTCAGATCGACTTTCAACCCCGTCTCACCCAAATAGATATCACACAAAACATTAAACATGGAGAGTAGACAGCAAAGTAAGTAATGATCCGACAAAGAAGTAAGAACTAAGAAGGGCCCAATCGGCCCATATCAATCAATTCTACATGTGAAAATTAGATTACCATAAAGACTTAGGCCCACCCCGGGCCGGGCCCAAAGACAAATAGTGTCTCCGTTTTATATGCCTACTGGAAACTGGGCCAGTCTAGTATGAAGAAAGGTTGAAGTGAAACTTCGTCTTCAGTGTCCTAAAAAATGGAACTTTTTTCAAATCCTTTTATTGGGTCGATCAATTCGTTTGTGGTCAAAATCAATGAAACAGTGTTAAAATTTGGACAAATCTTGTTCTGCGATTCCGAGCTTCTGATCTCCTGCAATCCAGTTCCGGACATGTGTAGCCAGCACTCCTAAGAAGTCCTATACGGGTCTACATTGTGGAAATTCAGTTGGGTGACCTTTTTTTTTATACATTATACATTTTGCATACGTTCGACATTTTTTGGCATTTTTTTTGCTTCACGTTTTGCCGGTTTTTAAATATCGGGGCACTTTGGTGCGCTTTAAACAGCGAATTTTCAATCTTTTGGTCTTTCTCGAAATATATCCCTGAGTACAGCCAAATTGTGCAGCCAGGGACCTCTGGGAAATGCCGGTCTTGTGGTCAACTGAACGTCTAAGTTGGCCATTCTTTCACGTGTCATTTTAGTGGCACGTCTTCCTGACCGTATAGCTCTGGAGTCTGGCTACAGATCCTTCCTGCTCATCTCGCTCCACAATCCGGTAGATAGTAGTCTTAGCCATACCTTGTGCTATACAATTTTTGGCTATGAAGCTTCGCCAGTCGTCACGTTGGTTCCCAAATTTCAATAAACTGTACATTGTACAAGCCGCTTCAGTGGCTGTAAGAAAGAGATTGCTCTGTGCCTTTCGCAAGGGGCTTCTGAGTGTTTACCATTGACTATTTTTGATCAAAATTGTCCAAACTGTTTCATTGATCTTGACCACAATTGAATTGTGGTGAAAGGATTTGAAGTTCCATCTTTTGTCATCACCCGTTTGAGCAGTTGTGATAAGCATTTAAAAAGACTATAATATCTGTAGTCATTCATTATTCATGACTGGGGTCACAGGAATTAAAATACTACAGTACTTTTGTGTTAGATTCGCTACTATTTTGTAGCTTTGCTAAAGATTAAAAGCCCAACGTTGTTATCTCTTAGCTACACAAAACAAAGAAAGCTGAATCGAAGAAATAAACAATGTAGAACTCAAAAAGATGTAAATTCCCCAAATTATTGGGGAAGAACGCGAAGTGTTATTAAATAGGACTGGCTTGTATCAACTCTTACCGCATAAACTTTCAATGGGTGATTGTCTACAAAACCAAGACATTATCGTAACTACAGCTATCCATCCCCCCAACTAGTAGACCCCTTACTCGCGACTGTCTATAAGTATAATTATTGATTATATATCGACAAAGTGTCTAGAATCCACATGATCTAATCAGAGAAAATCTAGAAAAATGGAAGCAAGCCCACAACTACTTGAGATCGTACATGTTCAAAACTCTATGCAACTTGTAAATTCATTCTCCCATAATACAAAAATATTATGTAGACCTGTTCGATTCGGCTATAAATTTCACTTCCTACCCGCAGAAAACTTTCTGGTCCTTCCCACAATTGTTGGCATACATCCTCTGTCACCAGCAGCCGTCTTATGTTACGAAAGATAAAATATTATTTCACCCGGTTTTTGCACATTTGTCTTACATTTCCTTGCTCTCTCTGTACACCACCACTTTTATTTGGACCTACCGTGTGTAATGTTGTGGTAAGTTGCTTTGTTGTGGGTTTTACCGTGAATTATTTGCATGCGAGCTGAGATCCTAGGTCACCCTGGCAGAACTATGATAAAAATGTGGAGAGTGTTAGGTATAATAACACAATGACAACGATCTGTAATGTAGTTTGTGAGAATGATCTATCATAGTACCTGGGGTGTTATTGTGAATTGGTGCTATCTGGTGCCTGTATCGTGCCAACGCTCCCTGATTACGTACTGTTTCGCTTCATTTACTCCTTCAGCTTCCGTAGATGATTCATTTACGAATTTATTAATACACTTTTTTATCTGATTAGATTTTAGGCTTTATTTACACTTTTCACGGGCGTCTAAATCTATTTAGGCTGAACCAAAAATCTGAGTGACTGATCCTAAATTCAGAATTCTCACGTTTTAGCTGTCGCAGTGGCAGTAAGATAGTTGTCGTGAAAGATTCAACAGTGCAAGAACGGTCAAAATAACAAGAATAAAAATGCCGAGTGTAGCCGTTGTCTAATAAGTGAAGTTGTCTAAATAGTTATTGTTAACTGTTAGCTTGTTGTTTTAGAACTTATATAGAACTATATGTATTAGATCATATCATAATATTAGTTAAATGTATGATGTCATTGTACAACTTGTATGAACTTGCTAAGCATCGGTGGTTGAACTCTTTAAGATAACGCTATAACCCAAAGGTCTCTGACCATTTGCATTACCAAATGATGAATCCTAATTTAATTAAGTCAAGGTGCAGAGCATATTTATAAAATAATCCGTCATAATATCTTAAATACAGTGAAACTGCGATTAAAACTGTGCTTGCCACATCGAAGCAGCATTAAAGTGAACTGGCTTCAACTCTATATAATAGCCATACTCCATATAATAGCCCGAAGTATAAAGATAACATAAAATAGAATTAGTACAACAAGCCATGATCTAGTATAACCTCTACAATTAATTTAGTATTTACTGAGTCGGACTGAGTCAATATTAATTTAATATATAATACCTGTTATCATGTAACGGTATCTATATTATGTAATATGATATTGATACTAAGGCAAAACGAGAAAACAATAAAGGTGTGAACGGTTGCTAAAGTCAACATAACCCAACAAAAAGCTCCTAAAGGAAGCAAATATGAAGTCCCGATGACTTGAATAATGAATTATAACATGGACTCGTGGCGTTCGTGGACACATTGAAAGACGATGTATCACTTTCAGGCTGAAATTTCATTAGTTATCACACGAATCTAATTTCAGTGCAGTCGCCGGTTTTCTTGATATGGTCTGTATCCAGACATTGTTTAGACTTCGACCTCTTGTTTTCCGGTTCTCAACAGGGACCTTGTGTAGCGGGTTTTGATAAATCTGGCACTACAGAATAACTACAATTCTGTCGTTATACCCATAAAACGGGCATATTTGAATTTTTATATTCAATTCAGAACCTGTAGAATTATTGAATAGTAACTGACTATAATTACTACTATATGGAACAGACCTCTTCATGTAGCATGTATGTAGAATTACTAGAGTAAGTGTCCTATTCAGTAAGTACCAATTTCATCGGATTTCGCCGGTAAGATTTATTAAACCTTGCTGTCTTCCTTCTCGGTGGATTGTTGCAAAATTGTAGACCTTGGAGATCATAGACACACACATTTATTTTGAGGATTTCGTTTTACGAGAAAGTCAAGCAGTTATTTTTGGAAATTTGCACATTTTCGACACGTATTAGCAGTCAACACGTGAGCACGGGGAACGCTTGCTTAAAAGTTATAAGCTCTCCTGCCCTCGTAGATGGTTTTTGGTTAGCAGGGAGAAATTCTGGAGAATTCTTGAGAATTTTGGAGAATTCTGGAGAAATTGATTCTAAAAGTCAGTTTGGAAGTTTGAGCAGTGGGCAGTGAGCAGGTCATCTTGAACCGTACGTTAAATTGAGCAATTACAGTAAGTCGTAACCCGTCACGTGATAGCACAATATACACATAATAGACCTCGAGTACAAAATTCAGAAGAATAGGAACCCACCAATTTTATATTTAAAACGGTTCTAAATGTTTTGATTCTCTTCTGCTTCATTTGATGGATAACATTTATTTACAGGAAATGAGAGGAAGAAGTTGATGGAAGAAAATCTCTGTACTATGAACACGGACCGGCCCAATGGATTCCTTCAGAAACTTTGTACTTACTAAGTCGGTTAGTACTGATTGAACTTGTATACATTGTACCTCTGTATTCATGTTCGATATTTACTTCGTCAATTTAATTTACTTATTTGGATATTTTGGTAGCATGTTCTACTGTATTTATGTGGATCGTTCTGTTTAGAAGTGGTAGTAAACTGACGTGAAGTTTATTATCAGCGTCAAAGTAGTTGGTTAATGATAATCAATAAACAGATCCGATTACAAACAAATGAGTGATAACGACACAATTGAGGGTCCTGCTATCTACAAAGATCATATCTCATTGCACGCGGCGGTACCAAAACCTCCCAAGTCATTGTGCCAAAACCACTCAAGTCATTGTACCAAACCATTTCAACTTTTCAATGGGACAAATGTTTACTTTCTTAAGGTTGTGCGAAAAGTTGAATTGCACGAAAATGTGATGAAAAAACCGACTATGATATGTGCGAAGAACGACAAATGGAGTGAAAAAGGACGGCAACGGTTAATAGTGTGATTCCGCACCCACCACACTTATATATGTTGCCACAGAAAGTTACTTCCATCCGAGGTTCCCACAGTTATCGTTATAGTGGCAATCGGACTGGTGTAAGCGGCCACAAAAGAGATCCTAGTCATCGAATAAATCAAACAACTAACCTACCAGATCTACAGATCTAACCGAATGATCTACAGACTTCTTGCCAGCTTATACAGCATATATATATATAATACGCGTAAAAACTTACTTTTAATAAGTCTAATGTGACCCGTAATTAGATTTTCGTCCCAAAAAAAATATTCTACAGGACGTGGTCTTAGATAAGCTGGGTTTTAAAGTTCAGACCTGTTTAAAGTCGCAGTATATGATGGTCGATCGAGTTAGATTGAGCATGTCGAATTCTGTCGAATTCTGATTCTGTTAAAGAGTGAATATTTAATCGTTGACCGGTTTGACTCACAGCTGTAGTGTCCGGAAATTAAAATGTGACTATCTTCACACAATCAAAGTTCACATAACAATAATCAAATAAAAAATTTCAAATAAAAATAAAAGTTATAAATTAAATAATCAAATTTCAGACTAAAAAATACAAAAAGGTGTGCCATGCAGCTTTCAAAAGCTATCGAAAGCAGTTGTTTGTTTAAGCTTTTAAGAACGATTGTTAATAAACTGATCTGTGCTCCGCAATCAGGTCCCAAACTAAACCACACACTTTTGTTGAAAGAGTTGGTTCGTAACGGACTGCGGTCGTTAAAAATGAGCATTCATGAGAAACTTGACGGTTCTGGAACTTTTTTGAATTTGAGAACTTTTCTGGAACTTTTCCAAACAATCGTTGAACTTCTGAGATTAATCCAATTTTGCAGACGACTTTTACTGCAGCATATTATTCGATTGAGGTTCTGGAACTTTTAAAATGTTCGATATTTTCTGGAACTTTTTCTGACATGGGTTTTTACTGCATATCGAAAAATTAATCCAACAAATATTCAAAGACCAAACACGATTAATTCAACGCAAAAAAGCAATAGAAAAAACCGTTGCAAATATTAAAAACTTATTTTTAGTTGTCTAACGTTACCATATAATTATCGTACCAGCGATAAAGATAACAACAATGTTCAATGTTAATTAACCAATTAGCTGGCGGAATAAAGACAAAGAGCCCTTATAACTATAAGAGGCTCTAGAGGTTCCTAGCCTTTGAGGTTGTTACGAGCAACCTGGTACGTCGTGCTCGCTGCTCGCTCAACTTTGTGGACCGGTCACGCACGACAAATCTGCATTCTCATACGAAGAAATGAGATACAGCAACTATGCCACGCACATATTTTAGAAATACGACTACTCCACGTACAAGTAAAGATCTCGGCACTCACGTACGGTCTATTATTGTGTACGTGTTCTCTGGTAGTAGTAGTGTGGAAGCACGGTGTAGCTTTGTGAGGTAAAGAAAGGGATTGTACTAATCCTGCTAGTTGTTTGGAAAACGGCGTGCCACGTAATTTGTGGACCTCAAACCTTATAGTTGAATGATAGTTGAAACTCGTTTTAAAATGTGCCGAAAAAATTGATTTGTTTGGATTAATTTACTGTTTTGTTCTTTACATCAGTTTGCCGATAATTTTTGTTAAAGTTGAAGCCAAGATTTTTAGAGTTTGCAGACATTCACCTTCAGTCAAATTGTTGCTCACTATAAAATATCTAGAGACTCGCTAACCGCTTTAATGGCCCATTAATTTGATGAAAACTTCAATGTTTACCCGAAATGTTTACTGTCTATATTTAAGAATTAAGAAAGACTTGAAGTGGTTGGCAGTCTAGTCGTGGACACTGGTCACAGTGCTAACATTTGATGCAGCAAAGGGAATTATTGTTTAACTTTATGATCGGTATTACAACAGAACTAGCTTCAGTAATATTTATGGTCGGTATTACAACAGAACTAGCTCAGTAATATTTATGATCGGTATTACAACAGAACTAGCTCAGTAATATTTATGGTCGGTATTACAACAGAACTAGTTCAGTAATATTTATGGTCGGTATTACAACAGAACTAGCTCAGTAATATTTATGGTCGGTATTACAACAGAACTAGCTCAGTAATATTTATGGTCGGTATTACAACAGAATTAGTTCAGTAATATTTATGGTCGGTATTTCAACAGAACTAGTTCAGTAATATTTATGGTCGGTATTACAACAGAACTAGCTCACTAATATTTATGGTCGGTATTACAACAGAATTAGTTCAGTAATATTTATGGTCGGTATTACAACAGAACTAGCTCACTAATATTTATGGTCGGTATTACAACAGAACTAGTTCAGTAATATTTATGGTCGGTATTACAACAGAACTAAGTCAGTAATATTTATGGTCGGTATTACAACAGAACTAAGTTAGCACTATGGGGATTGGTTAACACGAGATTACTCTTCCTACTATAAATAGCACATTGCAAATTAATTATTCGAGAGCTCCTGGAGCATTCCATCAATGGTTTGAAAGTAAATGTTCTTGGCTGGCTTGCTCGCGTTATGCAGGTCTCATACAACCAATAATACCACGTAATGAAGGTCTCATACAAGGCAAAATATCACATAATGAAGGGCGCACAGTGGGGCTCCATGCTGACATTTAGCCTAAAAACGAGTTTTCCTAATGTTTTAGATTGTTGTAAATTCTGATAGAGAATAAATAACCGGATTCAATGCTTTTTAAATTAGCTCAATATCTCGGTTGGGTCAAAATTTACAACCATTTGAAAAGCGCGCCTGAAAATAACCTGCCTGCACATGCCCAGAAACTCAATTTCACTGCCATTTTTGAGTCAGGCTGAGGTTCTTTTTGTTTTCAATGTTTTTCAACTTTTGATTGATTGAACATGGATATAAGCATTCTTAGTACTGTTTAAGAAGAAAAAACCATGATTTCGGTCAATTTTGGATTTTTGGTAGCTAAAATTAGAATATTTTTCAAAAATAGGCCTTAAAATTTCATTCGCTGACCACAAATGGGTGGTAAAGTTATAAATGGCCCCATATGGCCCGGGTTTCATTATGTTTTCTATGTTTTCCCATAATTTTTCTAGCAGAACCCAGAAGATTTGGCTTCGGAACGCTTCGGAAAAAAAATTATGACCCATTTTTGGTACGAGCCTGAGGTGAAAAATCGCGTCAAAATAGCGCGAAAAATGAAAACTGATAGATTAAAAACTGATTTTTTCATTTATTTCATAGCTTTTTGGTGCACACTTCGATATTTTATGCTAATACCAGCAAAGTTCAATTGGAATAAGCAATATTTGGATGGAAAAATAGTGCATATGAGCCAAAAATAGCCAAAATCTGGCAATTTGAGCTCGGAAAATCCAGGGGCAACTCTGATTTCATAGGATTTTTCTTATGTTTTTGTCATATTGCATAGTTTTTATGGTTCTCCTTTCTGAAATACCCTTAAACAATCACATCAGCATGATTGATGACCATTTCCATACGAAAAAGCAGAAAAATGGGACAGAAACCGCTTAAAATTCGATGAAATCTTAAAACTGCTAGTCAAAAAAGATGCTTTTTGTGTGACAGAAAGTGCCAAATTTTCGAAAAAATTGATTTTTTGCCCAAAAAAGTAGTGAAAGTTGTCCAATTTCACTGAAATAAGTCATAATTGACGATTTAATCCAAATTGACACCACCAAGATGTGGCCAGAGGCATAAAAGGGCAAAAAAACCAAATGTCAGCATGCCCTTTACGCGAGCCCCACTGTGGGGCGAAGCTGCATCGCGATCGTACAATATTTAGTATTTACCCGATCACATACAACCAATTCTCAGTACGTGTCCAGTGTCCAGTACGTGACCAGTGTCCCGTGTCCACTGTCCACTGTCCATGACGTTTACTATACCTCATACCGCGAGATGTCTGATTTGAGCAATTATATAACTTCCGTCGTGCCATTTACCAGTTACCACACACAAAGATTAAACTAGCCATTTTCCCACTATCGATTGAAGCGTTGCCAATTCCATGCTGAATATTTCTAGTCACATACATTTCTACATAATGGAATGTATTTAATGAATTACGCAGCAATATTGAAGTATTTGGACAGTCCAAAACTTTGTAGAAGAACTTCATATTTTATAGAGATAATGAACACCCTTTAATTCTTGAGGGGGCATACACCAAAATAGTGGTTTGTGCCGTCCAGACCAAATGACCTCATAGGCAGTCCAGTGACCTTCTAGCGCACCGTTTCCACACCAAAAAAAATTATTTTGAGAAACCTATTTTTGTAATCGAGCATTTCCTGGTTATATTAAGAGTGCAATTTTCGGAAAAAATGATTTTTTGGTTGAGACGCTATAAGTTAATCATTTCTTGCGGTATCGGTTTAAATTTTGCTCGAGGTCCAATAGATCTGAAGATAAATGAGTAAAAACATTTTTGAGGGCATCAAAAACTGCGCCAGAATTCAGAGAACAATTTGATGTCAGGCATCAAATCAATCCGATCTTCCCTGACTGACTTTTTGTTAAAATAAGCCTAAAAAGGACAATTTTAGCTTTTCGACTTTAAAAATTCATAACACACTAGCCTTTTTAGATACGATATCAAGATTTTATACACACCTTGAAATAGATGTGAATAAACGCTAAGATGGGAAGTTCGTACGGTACGTACCTTTAAATTAGCTGTACGGTACGTACTTAATAGAAAAGGCTGAAAGGTACAAATCCAGTTGATAGCAATGGATTACGAGTATATTATGGACAAGCGTAGATTAAGGTTGCGACCTGAATTAGCTGAAAAGCTGGTGTATACTGCAACAGAAGGATGAAGCTTTGAGTTTAACGATAATTACAAGTAGTAGTAGTGTAGTACCGGTTAAGAGCGATCCGGTACACAAATTTTCCTCTTAAATCTTTTATTGTTTTAACCACTGTGTTTATTTTCGACTTCTATCTCAAAAATTATGATGATAATACTTATCAAAATTGCAAGTAATTCACTGAAGTTGATTCTAAAAATTTGAAAAAAAAATTGTACCTTACAGTGCCTGTACGGTACGTACCTTTTAAAAGTAGCTGTACCGTACGTACTTAAAGCCCTGTACCGTACGTACTTGCCATCTAAGAATAAACGGCGAGCAAAATTTAAACCGATACCGCAAGAAATGATTAACTTATAGCGTCTCAACCAAAAAATTATTTTTTCCGAAAATTGCACTCTTAACCAGGAAATGCTCGATTACAAAAATAGGTATTCTCAAAATAATTTGTTTGGTGTGGAAACGGTGCGCTAGAAGGTCACTGAACTGCCTATGAGGTCATTTGGTCTGGACAGGTACGGTTTGGTGTATGCCCCCTTAAGGAGGGTTGATATACAAAGCTGAAACGCAGTTTAACATAAACTGTTTAGATGACTGATTTAGTGAGTTCCCGAAAAATGCAGTAGATTATAAGATTAAACCTGAATTCTAGATTTCCCTGTAAAGCTTGGGAATACTTTGCTTGCTACAGTCAAATCTACCACGAAGCCTGTCGTACCATGCCTTGGATCTCCAAAACTTTAACATTTACATGTATCTACTTCTAGTTATCTTGTGTAAAATGTAAATTGAACATGCTAATCATATTCATGATGATATTGTTTTTTTTTTAATTAACGAAAATTTCGGGGAAAATATCAGAAAAAAAGAAGCTAATGCTTACTGCATTACCACGTAAGGAAATGCTCTTGATCAATAAAATTTCATTGGCATTGGGGAGATGATTTCTATGAAACTGTCACTGATTAGAGATCGTTTCCAAGAATTTGACCCTTATAAGTATGATTGGCTAACCACGTTAACTAAACTGTAAACGGTGGTTCCGCTCTACTACAGCTAGATCTCATACTGCATTAGACCCCATACAATTAAATTGGAGGGCCTAAGGACATTCGTGGGCCTTCAATAGGCCACTTGGGTTATAGGACACGAGGGCGGAGGACACAAGGGCATAGGTGAAAATAAGTTTAAAAAGTGGCACCTTAACGTAAGCTGAAATTTCTTTAACCTGGCTTTTTTTGCGAGAGATTTTTACCTTTGCGGCTAGGACTATCGCTGAATTTTAACAGGTTTTTGCTATCAGTTTAAGTTAATATTAAGTCTCGGGGGCCGGGGGTTTGTCCATGTGCTTGCTGTGACAAGATGATCAGGGCCCCTGCAAATTTTATGCAGTTTAGAAACGCTTTGAAAATAATTAAATGAGAGAGCAGGCTCTAGAGATGATCACTGGAAGGAATGCTGGCCGCAGGCCAAACATTTGGAGCGAAATTATCAATTTTATTGCTCTCTGGGACTTTCAAACAGGTTAAATTTACCTCTCCCAAGCCAAATTTCCTTCAGGTTAATCTTTTCACTTGAACTTTTTTAAATTTAACCTGGCTTCGAAATTTTAACGTAAGGAGGGGGCTTGAAAAGGTTCTTATTTACAATGATGCGAAAAATTTTCGCTGGCTGGATGTAAAAGATGAATTGCATTAAAATTTTACCACTATCTCACAAGGCCTTGCTAGGATTGGCCCCAAAGTCGGTCATTAATTTAATTGCGGACTACATTCCTCATTAAACTGATTAAATTTAAAGCTTGGCATCATTACCCAGATGTAATAAGAGATACACGTACTCAAGTGCGACACGTACTTTAGTTTTAGTTCGACACGTACTCAAGTTCGACAACAGAACTTCGATTGTCGAACTAGAGTGCGCTACCTCGACACGTACCAAAGTTCGACAGGAGTGATTTCTGGCGAAGTTGTCGCACTATAGTACGTGAATCTTATACACGAATGATTAACGATTATTGTTTAATCAAACACTTCCCAGGCTCAAATAAAGGCTGGCAAGTCGGACCTGTCTCGAGAACCTGTCGTTAGATCCAGTTTCAAGGACCTTCCTATCTCCGAAGGTAAATGATATACACTAAATGATATAAACTAAATAAATAATTATATAAACTAAATGATATTTGGACACGTTCATTTGAGTTTGAGGATATTGGTAAATATAAGTGACCCTATTAAATGGCACAGTGTAGTTGAATTTGTCACACTATGAAATTACATAAACCCTTGATGGTTAGGATAATCGTATCATCCTCTAGGCTAACTTTGTCACATAACGATATCTTAATCAGGTGATAAGATATCGGTTAAATACGGCCGGCACGGAAATGGTTACATTGTCACACTATAAACATGTGACGGAGTAAATATGGACCCCTTGCTGCCGTTTTTGACCAAATTTTTGAGTGTCCAGTTGATTGGATGGGTACATATGACCATTACCTACATATTTGACGACTTTTTTCGTTAGATGGTGCACTCAGGTTTACTCTGTCACACATTAAAGAAAATATGTGATGAATGTTTAGGGCACCCTGATAAGCAATGCTGAGTAGTGTAGGTTTATTTGATGGCCTGAAAGTGCTGGGAATTGTTATTATATCATATAGTCGTAAGGAATTAAAACACAGAAGGCACAACCAAATTTACTTTGTCACATAATCTTGATGATATCTGAACATGTGTGAAATTGAACAAATAATGATATACCAGCTTAAACCCCTTATATTACGTACTATGGATCAAACAACACTGTAGTACCATGCACCAGTCACATGAATCATTATCAGGTGGTAATATGTTAACAGTGTCACAATTAAACTACCACAACATGGTCAAAAATAGGATAATTTCGTCACAAAAAAATTATTATAACTCTGTTAGCTCCTTGCTGGCAAAATAACTAGTTTATCGAAAAATTTTTGATGATTAAGTTTCATAGTATTCTAATAGATGTATAGTTCTTCAAAATAGGGGCAAGACATGTTTACTTTGTCACATCAGTTATTATAAGAGTTAGGTAATCGTCATCAGATTAAAAGATATTTTTCGTAGTTTGGATCGATTAATATACCTGTAATAAAGCACCCTATGCCAATTTTAACGTGCACTATCTTGATATTGTTGGGGCAGGGAAAGTTAATTTTGTCACATTTTCAGTGTCATTGACAAATTAATCTAAAATTGTTAAAATTGAGCTCTGATGTTCTGGACAATATTCTTCCAATCGTTTCTGAAAGAATGTTGAATTCTAATAGAGTTATAGATCTTCAAAATAGGGGCAAGACATGTTTACTTTGTCACATCAGTTATTATAAGAGTTAGGTAATCGTCATCACATTAACATATATTTTGTAGTTTGGATTGATTTATATAGGCAATAAAGCATTCTAGTATGCCAATTTTAACACACTATCTTGATATTGTTGGGGCAGGGAAAGTTAATTTTGTCACATTTTTAGTGACTTTGACAAATTTAACCTAAAATTGTTAAAGTTAAGAATGTTGAATTCTAATAGAGGTATAGAATATAGATCTTCAAAATAGGGGCAAGACATGTTCACTTTGTCACATCAGTTATTATAAGAGTTATTATAAGAGACTATTTCATTCTATAATCATTGTTTTTAACCTATTTACGATTTCGTATAATTTTTTGTGACAATGTAAACATCAACTGATCTTAACTTGCATCAACTACATTGTCATCATATAAAGTTTTCCCGCCTTTCAAACCAAAATCAAATATAAATAATTCGCCCAAAATTTAAAATTTCATATATTGTGACAGAATTAACCTCATTTCCCAATAACCAAGTGCCTGTATTAGCTAACTATTCAAAACGATATATTTTAGGGCTATGATTGGTAGAGCAACCATCAAATAATGAGTTGAAAGGGTTTTTAGGACACCTCACATTAGAATAGAGGTATGGTATCATGAGTGTGACAAAGTTACCCAAATATTGCCTTGTAACCGTTCGATCCGTGCCCATTAACCAATGTTGTATCATAATTGTAAGATTGACCTAATTTACTATATTTCAGACCAAGGAATGATAATTAGACATCTGCAGTTAACTAAGTCACACAAAATGTGACATTTGAACCATTATAGTGCCTAACAACAATAGATTTTCTTTCTGAGCGGTGCATATGGGAGTATGGGTTACGTGGCTAATGTTCAGAACTTCTGAACATGCTAGGTTAATAGATGTCAAAATTAAGCCACTATCGTCGAAAACGCTATTATTTTTGTTTACCAATATCCTCAAACTCAAATGAACGTGTCCATTTATATAAACTAAACACCGTGGACTCCGTGGTCCGTGGAACAGGACTTTTCTCAAGTATATTTTAGTATCGACGTCTTGTCGTCAGTTGTATGACCTGGTAACGATGCCTGTCCTCAGTCGCGTATATTAGTAACATTGCCTGTACTTATTATTGTACTCTATTAACAAACTTCGTCCTCAGTTTCGTACCCAAACAATGACATAAAGGTACAGAACATAGCTCCCCTTGATAATGACATGAGAGAACGGATCTCTACCTACTTTCCTAAAGGACTGCAGAAGAAGGAGGTAGTGGTAGGACCCAACGGACGACCAAGATCCCTTAGGTATGTTGTCTAGGTACTAATCTAGGTACTAAAGTTTAATTAATTTTGTTTTTCACTTGAGGGAGGAGCAGGTATGCCGGTATGAGGGTCCTGACTCTGTCTATCTATGATAAGGAGGCCTCAATTTCTTATGATACTATAATTAAATATCTCCAGCCTGCAACCAGATATGCCTGGAGACCTGCCATGGAACATGTCGAGTGGCGAGGTAGCGTATGGAATGTCAATATCACTCTACGAGGAGGACTCTGAAAAAGGCGTGTTTGTTGGGGACCCTATAGCAGACTGCTGCGCGGTCATTTGTACCTGCAACTACATCATCATGGTACGAGGAGTCTGTCTGTCTGTCTGTCTGTCTGTCTGTCTGTCTGTCTGTCTGTCTGTCTGTCTGTCTGTCTGTCTGTCTGTCTGTCTGTCTGTCTGTCTGTCTGTCTGTCTGTCTGTCTGTCTGTCTGTCTGTCTGTCTGTCTGTCTGTCTGTCTGTCTGTCTGTCTATGGGCCCAATTAAGCAGTAAAAATTGTAGACTGGCCTGGTTTCATGAGGAGGAGCAGCTATTATTATCCGAGTTAGCTACAGTTAAAACTACATTTTCCGTATGAATTATTGTTCAGGAGAGTATATAGACACAGAGACTTGAGAAACTAGTTCTACGGAACTTTAAACAGTACGTGATGTTACACAGTACGTGTGGTTTGGTTCGGACTTATCTATGTGTTAATTAATAACACATTAGAGCTAATTGGAGAGAGCTGCATTGATTATAATTGATTGTTAGGAGTTCTCAGAATCTCGAACACCCTACATTATGTACACGTGGTTTAGCCAAGGTACAGCAGCTTTTTGCCAATGGTGAATCACCATGGTGTAGTGCAAGGCAATTAACTGATATTTTCGCCCTTGATAGCTTGATAGCCGATGGAGTTATGGATGGCGAGAATGGCAAAATAAGTTCGTAATTTATTCCCAAAAATGGCAATAGCTTTGCTGCAATTCCCTGTACTCTAAAACCCTTTATAAATGTATGACCCAGTAGGTATCAATCTGATCTTAATCGCAATTCACAAGTAAAAGAATTTGTGTATTTAAATATAATGAAAAATATTAATAACAGTCGTGAGAATCAATCATATTTTCTTGATTTACCCCTCGAACTTTTCTTTCCTTGCTTAGCTCTTTTCATTGAGCTTCTATCCTCATTAGACTTCTCCCAATCTTTCTTGGATCCTTTTTTTCCCCTTCTGCCTGGACCGTGCTTTTTGTCACCTTTCATTCCTTTATCTTGGTCCAGTTTGCGGCTGTGGATCTGCTCCTTTATCTGCTCCTTATCTAGATCTTTTCCTGTCCAGCATTCAGCCATGCACTGTTTCTTACACTCTTTGGTCTCACATTCTGTCACTGCCATGCAGTTCTTCATGCATTCTTTGTCCTTTTTAAATTCTTCGATAGGTTCCTTTTCTAGATCTTTTCCTGTCCAGCATTCAGCCATGCACTCTTTCTTACACTCTTTCGTCTCACATTCTGCCGTTGCCTTGCAATTCTTCATGCATTGAACTTTGTCCTTTTTTAATTCTTCAATCTGGTTACCACCATCAAGTTCTTCGGCATATTCTACTGCAATCGGGTTCTCTAATTGAGGCGGAGAAGATGCGCTGCTCCCATTGGCAAGGGTAAGTGCGAGCACTGCAATGAGAAATATCATGTTTCTTCACAAACTGAACAACAACTGTTATAACTAACCGTATAACCGAAAATAATGAATATTCATCTGCAAACTTGCTTTAAAAAGGTCCAATTAGGTCACCTTTGTCTGTCAAATTTTGGGGAGTGGCCCCATTAACCCTATAATGCTAATGGTAATAAAAATTAGCGACGCTCCTATTTCTCCTTCTATCGTAATCATCATGCGTACATTGATGGGTTGTTTCGATTTACTTGCGAAAAGAAAGGAACCTTAAAATAATATTAGCAGATCTATGCATATGGTCGACGTTTCATAAGTATTAAATTATCTCAAAGCAGTTTTGATCCTTGGAACACCGTCACAAGAACACTTATGATCACAATTGTTTGCTAAATAAAGATTGGTTTGTTCCAGCCAAACACGTGTCACAACCTACCTCAAACCTCAAACCTCGACTATAGATCTTCAGAAACAATTTGATCGGTCATGACCGATCAGAACGAGATTCATGCTCACTGATTTGGATTTACAATTTATGTGAAAACCAAATTATTGCTCTGAGCTAATCTTGGACAAAATTGAAAATGTTCTAGTCTGATGAACTTCACGATATATACTAGCGGTTGACTAGATAACTATATAGTCAATATACCAAGATGAGATTGTTCTAGTTTCTACGCAAAACACCAATCGTAGAATAGCCTCAAAATCGCATACATTATATCTTCACATTACTTAAATGTCTATTAAATAGTAGTTTACAACCTACTTATCAACAAAGTCGCTAAACTAGGATGAAAATCAAAATGAACGAAAGCCGTTATTAGATAATATAATAATGATAAATTGAAGATTAATAACACCACTTTTAAGATAAAACTTATACTCATCAGTGTTTAATCTAAACATCCCGGAAATGTACTTGAGTAATAGGTAAGGACTGGCACCGTATGCTTAAAAATCTATATTACTAATAATTAATACTAATACTAAGGAATATGATACTTATAATTAAAGATATAACACCAATTATTACCAAAATAGAATATCGATAAAGTTATTCAAGTTCATGTAGGGACAGTTTTAATAGAAAACTTTTTAGAAGGGCTTTGAAAGATTCCAGGGATTGAGCCGGTGAGATGATAACAGGCAAACGATTGTAGATCTTTGGAGCCACCACAGAGAAGCTACGCTCACTAGATTTAGAGTTAAAAGAGATGGAACACTAAGTTTAAGTGAGTGACCATAAATTAGGTACCTAAACATATCTAGCAGATAAGTTGGTGCCAATCCTAATCAATATAATAACAATAATCAATTAAAAGGGGCTGGGTAATACTTATTGGTCTTAATCCTGGTCCCGGTTCAGTCCCATTCCCGGTAAAAAAAACGGTCCCGGTCAATCCTTGAACTTATAACCATCGACGAATCCAATGCACTTTTGATTTTAAGAGAAATAAAAAGGCTGACGAAAGACGAGTCTAAAACAAAACAATCACAACGCATGTGGCCATGGTGCAAATAAATCATAAATTTTAACGCCTCCTTGCACTCGGATCCGTACGTGAGCTTACTTCTACGATTTCCTCATAAAACTAACGAAGACAGAAAAAAGTCATCGCCAAACACGGCCGCCAGCCCCCATGTGCTCTGCAACTCTTTGTACGTGGGCGAGTTTTCCGTTCCATAAGCGTCATCGACATGACATGACATATTTCAGTACATTGTACAATGAGCAGTCCCTCCTCGAGCTTCTCTCCTGCTCCGGGGATTCTTAAAAACATGCACTTCACGACTTCGTTTATACTTTTAGCAAAGATATCCTAACAGTGCAGCGGGTCAGGGATATAAATAGGTACGAAAAATAAATCAATTATGAGAGTTAAAAATAGCGCTCTTTATTATTATCCTGTCATCACGGTGGTACGTATCTATTTTTACCCTGACTTTTACCCCGACTTTAAACCTCTAATCCGTTTGGACTCCGTTTACGCAGGGAGTCAGGCTCCCGTTGGTTGCTGTTGATATTGAACAAGAAACTGCCAAGTTCCAGAACTTCTAATTTGCTTATCAGGGTCCACTTTCTACTTCTTGAGTGGGGGAAGTTTTGGTACAACATTCCACAGGACATACCGATAGATCCAATACCAAGCGAATATAGGCTACTGATCTACGAGGTAGCTAAATGTCAATTGTTATTATGCAGCATTCCTGTCAAATATTCTGAGAGGAATAACTTATTGAAGATTGGTCCAAGCTGTCGTATTTCCGAAAAATTTGCTCCTCAAGCTCTTGTCTCCTGGAACCTTAACTCCTTAACCCCTTATCTCCTTAACTTTTCCATAAGATCGAAACACCGAAATTGATAAGAGAGAACTTTAATATAATTTTAGACCCACAACACTGATATAACTATCAGGATAGTTCTGTAAGTCTAAGTACGTGTTCTACAGTGGGGTGACATGCACTTCTGTCAATTCTGATCGTAGCAATATAAGCACTGTTTAAGCTTAGAATTTTCACTGAGCCATAACTCCGGTTCGGAATCTCTAATTCGCAAAAATAAGAAAGTGGCCGTTCACAGAATAAATTTAGTATTTTTATTCCTCTGATAGAATGTTTTTCCTTCGTGCTTGCGTACTGCGATACCTGTAAATTCTTGTATGTGTAAAGTAAAAACAATAACATTTCCAGGTGTGTGCGGATGGGTGCGGATGGGGGGATGGAGCAAGGACCGCAGCTAGAATTGCAGTGTTGTCAATGTTGCGAACTCTGACTAAAAAAGTCCTCTACAACGATATCTACAGCAGTACAGGTAAACTACGCGAAACCAACATCTGATTTTCAAGCATTAAAACGCTTTAATCCATATGTCATTTTTGTTAGACGGTAATCAAATCACAGACGCCAAATTACTGACCACCCTGGAAGTAGCTCGAGGATATCGTTACCAAATTACTGACCACCCTGGAAGTAGCTCGAGAATATCGTTACCAAATTACTGACCACCCTGGAAGTAGCTCGAGGATATCGTTACCAAATTACTGACCACCCTAGAAGTAGCTCCAGGATATCGTTACCAAATTACTGACCACCCTGGAAGTAGCTCGAGGATATCGTTACCAAATTACTGACCACCCTGGAAGTAGCTCCAGGATATGAGGATATCGTTACCAAATTACTGACCACCCTGGAAGTAGCTCGAGGATATCGTTACCACATCAAATTATTAATTTCTTTGCTTATAATGTTTGAAAGGGTTGACTAATACTGAACTCACTCTCAAGTTATACTGACTTTAAATGATTATGAATGACTTACGTTATTAATTAATTAACAATTAATTACCACTCAGATATATTTGAGTTCCTGAGCGAGGGTATGAATCAGGCCCAAAAGGATCTGATAGCAAGTGAAGGGTGTGGAATGACTACACTCTGTGCTACTGTCATTGCTCCACTTAAATACCACAACAGTCCAGGTACACTTTGTTTTGTTTTTATTCTTATTATGTATTCAATTTTAATTTTTCGTGGAGTCAAAGAGTATATTGTTCAGTATGAAAGCTTTTTAGAGTAAAAACTAAACTTCAGTGTATTTTTCGATCATTATCGCTGAATACGCATTATGGAACCTGGAACCATGTATAAAGATAAATGAGTTGAGCAAGAATATGTTTCTATTCCAACATTTCGTGCCCCGAAGCTACGGCAATGTTACTACTGGGTCTATTTCTTGAAGGTTTTTTTTTCCAGAAAATTGTTTTGTTAGGCCTTAATTTGTTGGTATTATTTAGCTGTTTATCACACGTAAAGTGTACAATGTATCAAGTATCAACGTGGTATACTTGGACCCATTCCAAGTAAAATCCATATTCGGTATCTATGAATTTCACAAACGTTAAGTTTTGAGGGTGAATAAGAATTCCCCTAGCCCTAGCCTTCACTACTCCCTGGTTCAGTTCTATAACCCGTCCTTCTCTCTTCAGATGAGGAATTTCATCCAGTCCTAGGCTGTATTAATTTGCGTAGCACCCACCGTTATCTGGGTAATCTCAATCCAATACCTGAACGTGACAGTAGTAAGTTTCATAGATTTTATTAGCAATTTAATTAGAAAGTTGTGGCATCTTCTTGACTTCTTTGGTCGTGTTTGTAAAGCTGTATAATGGTTCTCCCGGGAATAACGGGTTCGAGCCCAGCCGGGGGTACTCTTTTGCATGAGTAATGTGCTCACAAACCATTTCTCCAGCATGCTTACATGTATAGTGTATATAGTATAGTGTATATTATAGTACAGTGTGCATTGGTTATGGGCGTGTAGTGAAGTTGCTATCACCTAGGTTGGTGATTAGAAACTGCATGTTTAGCTTCAAGTATTTCTAAAGTGATTTGGTGCTTGTATTGAGAATTTCTACCCGAGATAACGTTAATTTTATAGAACATAGTGTGGCTTCATTATCTGTATGTTCAGGTAACAGTTGGTGTACATATTATCATTAGTGATTCGTCAGGTCTTGTGTTCCCGACAATACACACAGTGTTTCACCGAGAATTTTCAATACATCTGATTTAGAACCAAAGATTTAAATTATTTGAAAATGAATATACTCAGAACAAATCTTTTCTTTTAATGTTAAAAACATTGAAATAGTCTCACTTAACTCTCGTGTAAAAATAGTAACGAACATTAATGTCCATTAACCGTAAATATCAGATAGTCATTGTACCCCTGTCGAGCTATTTAAGAAGTATGGCATTCCTTTCTTAACTTTTCGCTCACATTCATCTTTGAGCTATCAAGTATCAACTTTAATAAGTGAATACTGGTGAAAGGGTAAAAACTGAAGTATGTTTCATAAGTTATGAGTAATCCGTATACAAAGGGCTCAGCAAGATGGCATGATGTTTGCAGAATAGCCACATTCATATAAGACTTGTGAAGCAATTCATCTTCTGATGCATATTTATATCAGTTCATTAGCATACGTAAATTGAAATAACTTTCTCAAAAATGCAAAAGTTTGTTCATCGGTAAATTATAAACGTGAATCGGTCACGACGAGTTCTATTTATAATATGCCTCCGTGGCCTAATGGCTACGGCATCGGCCTCCTAAGCCGGGGATTGCGGGTTCGAGTCCCGCCGGGGGTTTAATTTTTGCAGTGAAACTTCGTACAATAGATTTATTTATTATTTATTTTGAAAAGGTATAAGTTAGGTTTGGCGGCGTTGTGGTGTAACAAACTTCCGCTTGCTCCAATATCTGAATATCGCAGGTTCGATTCTGATCTATCACTCAGGCTATCCATCCGGTCCTCCATTATGTAATCGATTCAGGGTGCACAGGGTGCGTGACCTAACCTAATTATGATTATACTGTTGAAAATGTGTAATTGTTTATTTTCGCCTCATTTAGTCTCTACTTTTTCTGGTTATTGTTGATTACACTTTTACTTGGTGTGATTATCTGAGATGCGCGTGTAATACACGCGGCGTGTATGGAAAATATAAATATATTAAGACTTATTCTGATAGAGAACATGCCTCCGTGGCCTAATGGCTAAGGCATCGGCCTTCTAAGCCGGGGATTGCGGGTTCGAGCCCCGCCGGGGGTTACTTTTTTCACAATTTACAAAAAGTGCGTGAAACAAATTTTGAATTCGCCTCATATAAATAATGCATAAAAAATAATGAACAAAATTTTAAAAATTAAATAAATAATTTTTTGAAAAAAAAATTTTTAAATCGAATTCTTTTAAAAATTTTGTATCGTTTTATTTGCTTTTAACAATAAAAGTTATTGCAATGCATCGCATGGAATGAAATTTTACATGGCAAGAACTTTAAGGATTACGATGTTTTACACATTTTATCATAATACTACTAAACATTGTAACATGTTCGCTTCAGACGGCAGGTGGGTGGTGTGTAACGTGAGGGTGGGTGACACAGCCACCTACAGATACTGTAAACCAAGCGAGAAACTAGCCCTCATTTCTCACAGGTTCCTGGTTTTATTTCGCACTGTTAAGCTCTGTTAATGAGTCTTACGTCAAGTACTATTATTAAATATGTCAAAATCTAATTATGTCAAATCTAATTAGGGGGGGTCCAACTACATTTTTGTACATGGCCACCAGATTTTTGCCAAATGTACATGTACAAAAATGTACAAAATATTTTTTTTCCTGTTTGTCCACCAGATTTTTGCCAAATGTACATGTACAAAAATGTACAAAAATGTACAAAATATGTTTTTTCCTGTTTGGCCACCAGATTTTTGCCAAATGTACATGTACAAAAATGTACAAAAATGTACAAAATATGTTTTTTCCTGTTTTTCCTGTTCCGTTTCCAGGGATTTCCGATTTTTTGTACATTTTTTATGACCATTAATGTACATGGCCATCAGATTTTTGCCAAATGTACGCTAAATTAGTGTACAAAAATGTAGTTGGACCCCCCCCCCCCCCCCCCCCCTAATTATCTATTCTGATTGTTTTCAATTACTTTTTCTCTATAAAACCTTGATGCTTTCCTTCCTTTTGTACTGTTTAATTCAAGTTCTAACCAAATCAATGACAACTTTCAGGTTTAAAAATGAGGACCGGAACATGGGCGACTGTGGTGGGTGTCTTGGACCAGTTGTGGGCCATCAACCTGACCTGACTAACCTTCAGTATTCCATCTCCCTGGTTAGTATTTCTCGCTTCACTTCAATCTTTTTGAGGAGATTTAAACAAATATTTGTTTATCTGATCATGGTTTTATTTTGTTGAGTATTTTATTGTTTCAGGCCGATAACCATTGCACCATATTCTTGGCTACGGACGGAGTCGGGGATAACTTTAACCCACACGTTACGAATCAGATAGGTTTAAACATGCTTATATCAGGGATTTCTTAACTCGATTTAAATTTTTTATAAGACCAAGTAAAAAGTCATGGAGTTTATGTACAATGTATGGACAATGTACATATGTATAGAATATAATACTTTTGGACACGAAGGGAAACACACAACGTAAGGCTTGAAATCTTCGTAAAACTACATCATTAGAGCCTCAAATTATTTGTTATATACATAGTAGTGTTGAGGTTTGTATAAAATGTATATTGTGTATCCTTTTGAAGTCACATGTCAGTATGGAAACTTTTTCAGGACCCACGAATAAATGCAGTGACTTTGAATCTGAGCCTTTATTACACAAAGTTTACTGCAGCTGTCTGAATGATGATTCTTCGGGCAACTCGTGCGACTTGAGGGATCTCCCCATTCATAAGTAAAATACAGAAAATGTTCATAAATAGGTATTCGTAATTTTGACGATGTAAAGTACAAATATCGTGATTTTTAAATGGTTGTAACTTAGATTATGTAACAAAAGAGTACCACTTGCATGAGAAGGTTCAATTGTGACTTATTAATAATTATTAACTAATTAATAATTAATTAGACAAATTTCCATCAGACAGTTGGAAATATCGGAGAAAGATAAATCAACGCACAAACATTACTGTAAATGTCTCAAGAAAGTGGACGATTTGTGTCCTACCTTCGTCGACATTCTCTCTCTTAAATATTTTAATCAGGTAATTTCATTCAATTTGATTTATCATTTCGATGAAGTTAGTTTTTCATGAATAGTATTTTCTCTCTTTAGCCATAATTTAAATCATTAAGTCTCCAATTTTAGTTATACTTGTAGAAAAATTCATAGATTTGCTTAGTATTTAGTCCAAGTAACCATGATGTGTTTTCAGACGATAAACTCTTATTATGAAGACGTTAGTGTCAAAGACTTCGTTATTTCCATCTGTAGAATGTTGAGTGAGTATTCAAGATTCAATATGTCTCATTTCGTGGTGTCAATAAAATGGATAACTTAAATATATTATGATCGAAAGATGGTTGTACTTTTTGTTACCAAAACATTCATCATAACGTGTTCACTTTGAAGTTTTGGCATGTAACACTATTCAAATATAAATGACATGACTTTATTTTCTGTATCCTGTAACAATTTACACAATGCTTGTTTCAGCCGAATCCACAGATCGTAAACGCACTGCAATGAAGAGATTCAAAGAGCGGCTAACCGCACTGTCCAGCGAAGAAACAGACATGGTCAACAGGTGCCACAGACGTTACGTTAAAACAATCCCAGGCAAGCTGGACCACGCCAGTTTAGTAGCAGTAAATCTCGGCAAGATGCGGACCCTGAATAGTTATTATTTACTGAGTGCTGACAGCAGGACTACGAGTATTCTTTTACTGCTAAAAGAACGGGTCTACAAGAAGTCTTGAGGGTTTGGGGAAGTCGCCTATTTCTCCGATTCCAGAACTCAGTAATGCAGAAGTAAGACGTGGTTCGCTCCTGTAATCAGAAGCCCGTTAGAAGTATAAATAGGATTTAAGCAATATTTTCACATGGAGAAGGCCTGAGATTATTGCAATTATACATGAGCATGAGAGGACCTAATATACCACTTTTTGTCTTCGTCAGACGCCTTAAGGAATTCCGTTTCCTACTGTTAGATCATCTACCCTGTTGCAGTATAAATAGATTCCATGAAATAGAGTTCTTGGATTACTCAACATTATGTCAAATAGATCCTTGTTAAATTGTGAAACTACCAATTGTAAACAGAGTCTCAAACAAAGCGCCCAATTTGCTATTTTCTTTCTTCATAAGTGTTTTTTGAACAACAATTTATTCCAAAATTCATGTCAGCAATCGGTTGAAATCGTGAAGGTGATATTTAAAATGACCAATATTGATTATTAAAACACATCCAGACACAAAGTTAATTCTGGGCCCTTTTCATAGTATGTTTGTTACAATATGTTTGTTACAATTTGATGATGTGTTTTTTACGATTTGATATATTTTTACTTAATCAAGTTTACAGCAAGTCAGTGCATGATTAAATTATTTACCAAACCAGTGATTGACCGGGGTCTCGGTCAGGGTGAAAATTTTAGGCCGGACCGAACCGTAATTTTCAGCCGGAGATATTAAGAAAAACTATCAATTACTGCACTGAGTAGATATTCTATTGAAATCCTAGAAAAAAGTCTGCAGCCAAGATTTTAGCCGGGTGCCATTTTCGGCCGGGGCCCCGGTTGTTCACTGCACTAAACCGTTGCTCCATGACATTTACAGCAAATCATGACTGTATGTTAAAGCATAAAACAGTCTTATAACTCTTCATTTAATCATGATCATGAAATCGGTTCGTATTTTCGAACGTCATTAGTGTTTTCTGTTGTTGCAGAATTATATTTTTATTTTTCAAATTTGTTAATAAATCCGTTGAACTTTGAATCGGAAATGTATGACCTTTTCATCATAAATGATATCTACAGATGAAATAGATTAGTGCAATGCAATAACCGATCAATCGAGTGCCGAATTTTTAATTTTTAACTTTTTATGGTATCGCACAAATTATTTTAAGTCACAGATTCACAAAATTCAAAGAAGCATATCAAATTGCATCATTTGTCATTGACAATCGAGCGATCAAGAAGCGAACAAAGTCTCCCAAGATTATGAATATTACTTAAAAATAGTATAAGACTAAGTTTTAACAATTTAACAGAACATGAACGATGAAAACAAGCCTTTTTTAAGTTTCATTCTGTTATTAATTTTATCGATGCTGTTTGTGCGATAGATTTGATAGATCATGATGTTTAGATTTGTATGATTTTCTATTTTTGTAAAATTTGATATAATCAGTTCTGAAATATTTCGAGTTTTTCTTTGTTGGTGAGAGCTTGTCGCCAAAAATGAGCTCAGTGATGAGTGAGTAATTTCTCTCGTCATCACATATTCATTATTATATAATCGATTCACTGTATCTTGACTTTTATACAATTGTACTGTTGAAAATGTACAATCAGCACCTCACACAGCTTCTGCTTATTATTGTTAATAACACTTTTTCTAAGAGTACTTATCATATGGATAGAAATGAATATAAATAAAGACTTTTTGTTAATGTATCACAGCCTTCGTGGCCTAATGGCTAAGGCATCGGCCTTCTAAGCCGGGGATTGCGGGTTCGAGCCCCGCCGGGGGTTAACTTTTCTTGAAATTTCATTCCCAGTATGTTTGCTCCATTTGAGTTGGTTTGAGAAACATGTTTTAGCACTGGTTTTGCCAAGAAAAGTGCTAATATTAATTTGGATATTTACATACTAGTTTATTGGGGAGCACTTCTATGTTCTAGGTGGTTTCGGATTACAACATCAAACATACCAACTCCAGTATTCACCCCTGCATGATAAAGATTGTATACAGTATATGTGATATGGTCTTTGTCATTGGATTACTCTAAGGGAGCTTTCACATATGACGTCAGCAGCCGATGGGGGGGGTTGGAAATGCTGACGGGGGGAGGTCCGAACCTAGCTTCAAGCTTACGTCAGCAAAAATTGTTGTTTCAAATCAATTTTATTGACAATAAAACTTCGCTAATTTCCTTAATATTAGAACTTCTGCCGAAACCAGTGCTTGGGCTAAAATATGCTGTGAATGAAATTTCATGAAAAATTAACCCCCGGCGGGGCTCGAACCCGCAATCCCCGGCTTAGAAGGCCGATGCCTTAGCCATTAGGCCACGAAGGCTGTAATTCTGTAGTGCAGCTTTGATTGCAGATTGCTACGTATAATTAATGGGTGGGATTCTTCATTCTTACTTAATTGACAATGTCAACCCTTTCCAGCTCGTAGCTCTGCTCTGAACTTGAAGCGAATATACGCTTACTGGTTCGGGCGGAACTCAGCCTGTAATTGGTCATTCCACCATAAATCTTCAATCGGTGTTCGTTAATGAACACAAAAGCCTGAGGTCCCCAGGTATTTAGAAATTACTTAATTAGAAGTACGTATGAACTTGAAGTATGAAGTATAGTATGATAATGTGCATGATCGGAGCGGCGACGTCCTCCAAAATTCTCCGCACACTTGCACATTGCAATTGCATGCCGGTTATAGGTTTATACCCTATCAAGACGCGCGCCGAGTTGAACTCGTCGACCCGGTCTAATATTTGAAACAAGTATTTTACCATTTTGCATTTACGAGTATCACCCGTTACGGTTAACCACATGCCACACACCACAGCACACAGATCATCAATCGTACGTAGCGTCAGCGATGCATTATTACTGGACCGCTACGACAGTACGAGCTGTGAAGGATTGACATCGTCAATCATGAGCCTTACACATTTGACATTACATAACAGGTATGAGGTAATGTTTAATGTTTGTAGCGCAAAGCACTACTACGCCGCGTAGTGCATCAAATAATTCTTCTCGTTGTAGCGCGATGCACTACTGGGTCGCGCGCGCGCATCCAATAATGCTTCTCGCAACCACAGATGCAGATCGGCGAGATGCGAAGGATTGACATCGTGAATCAATTCTTCTCGCAACCACTTCGGTAGAAATCGGCGAGATTGGAGATGCACCACAGCACCACTGCACACTGGGCCTCGCCGAGTTGCGAATGATTGACATTCGCGTGAATCAAAGTTAATGCTTGTAGGTTTACAACCTACCAGGACGCGCGCCGAGTTGGACTCGTCGACGGTCCAATATATGGAACAGATATTTTACGAGTATCACCCGTTAAGTCGACGGTCCCAATATATGGAACAAATATTTTACGAGTATCACCCGTTAAAATATTTGTTCCACTTCCAACTTTGTATTATAAACTTATTGATTGACAATGTCAACCCTTTCAGATCGTTGCTCTGCAAAGCTAAAGCAAAGTAACGATCTTGTTTAATTGACGATGTCAATTCATGGCAGCTCGGCGCGGCACAGTAGCGCATCTCGCCGATCTAGCCACAGTAATGAGTAACGCATCGCGCTACAACGATCTTGTCTTCGATGCGAAGCAAGAATGCTAGTTTGCGCGGCGCGTCGAAGCGGCGAAGTCCTCCAAATAAACCTACAACGATAAATTGTAAATGAAATGAGCAATGAGGATCGCAACTTAATTGACGATGTCAATTCATCTCAGCTCGGCGCGGCACAGTAGCGCATCTCGCCGATCTAGAGAGCTGTGAGAAGCCTCATTGAGTGCGCGGCGCGGCACAGTAACGCATCGCACTACAAGATCGCAACGTGAAACAACGTTCACGCAATTGCAGCAAGCATGCAATGCAATGTTCAGTCGAATTACTGATTACGCTTACCATACCAGTTGACGGATGCACGTTACTAGTCTATAAATTTCTTCGAAGTAGCGCGCGCCGCTTTCTTCTCGAAATGGCCCGACATGGCAAGTGCTTGTCATACGTTGTATGACCCGCCGCGCACGAAGTGCGCGGCTCCCCCTGTAGCGTCGAAGACGCTACAGTGAAACGACCGTGGGGGTCACCACGTGATACAAGCAAGTGCTAAGAAGTAGTGCGCGCTGGGCCGGCCAGACCATTAACTATGGTCAACATATAATACCAGCCGACCTTTGTCATTTGTATCACGTCATGACCCCCAAGTATTGGGGCAAAAGCCACGTTTGACGTCGCGTTGTAGCGCAAATGTGCACTACTGGGCCGCGCAGCCAATAATTACAAATTATCAATTATGCTTCTTCGCTAGATCTTCGAAATGCACCGCTGGGCCTCGCCGAGCTGTGAAGGATTGACATCGTGAATCGACAAATCATTTATTCAAGTTTAACATGCTGAAGTATAACGCTTGACGTTGAACTGTAAAGTATTTGACATTATATATGGCTTTGTGTGCGAAATCGGAAAAATCAAATAAATAAAACGAAAAATGGAAAATTAAAAATGGTCTCGAAGTCGATCATCGATAAATGTGACTTAAATCAATCAACGGTGTCAATCCTTCGCAGCTCGGCGTGCAGCTCAATGTTGATTCACGATGTCAATCCTTCGCATCTCGCCGATCTGCATACGTGTGGTTGCGAGAAGCATTATTTGATGCGCGCGCGACCCAGTAGTGCATCGCGCTACAAAGCTCAATGGTGCATTTTACCGATCTAACAAAGTTTAACTCGCTACACGTTGTATACCTCTAGTGCACGCGAAGCGTGCACGCCTGCCGGCCGCGCGCGCGATCAAAAGGGGTTGCAGCGTGTGTCAAAGTTTCATGCATAGCCATGTGTCTACGCGTACTGCGTGACGCGCTTGTTTCACAAGCGAGAGGGCTCTGGTTAGAGCAATAACAAAGTGGTCACGAGAAGAACTGCACATTAACAATGGTCAACCGCGCACTCGTGCGCGGCAGGTCTACAACGTATGACAAGCTTGCTAGTATATTTATTGATTCACGATGTCAATCTTTCGCATCTCGCCGATCTGCATGAAGCATTATTTGATGCGCGCGCGACCCAGTAGTGCACCGCGCTACAAGTATATTTATAGACTGATCTCTCACGGAAATGCAAAAACGGGTAGCTGTCCTTCGGAATCAATGTCATCGAGAACTGGAAAAATGTCTTTTAAACCGGAACCCGATCAGCCATGCTCTTCTGAACAGCCACGAACCAGAAATCAGCTAGGATGAGTTAAGTAACACGCGTCAAGGTGTCTGTTCTCGGTTGGGATGATGGTATTCACTTTAAGTATATTTATTCTTTCTGTCCCTATCACTACGACCAAGATCAGCATAAGTGTTTTCTTATTTTATGACAAAGAAACAACAAACATATGAATATAAAATAATCAATCATTTTCGCATGTAATTATAACAAATCAAAAATTCTTGCCGACATTCTTTTTAAATCTTTCAAAACAAAATTTCCGAAATTTCATGCAGTCAGGAAGCAAGCGCAGAACATCCACTATATCCAGGAACAACATAATATAATAGAGATTAAAGAACCCAGTAAAATGAAAAAGATACTTAAATTACTGACTTTAGTTTCAGCAAATTGTGTAACAAAAGGCTAAATTGTAAATTGGCAAACTTAGCATAAAGGAATTGTGTTAGAGCTTAGTTTACTCGAGTAAGCGACCCAAATTATACGAAATACGGATTAGGGTTAAGGAAATTCTGGCGCGAGGAATTGGTATCAATATGAGTGCATTTTAAAATAAACATATTGTAAAGCAATTTTAAAAAGATCAAAATAAAATAAGAAAATGGAATAAAATATTATATAATATGAAATATATTATAAAATACTTTCTTGCGTAATACAACAAAATATCGAGAATTTCGCCTCTCTCTCAGTTGGAGTTATTATTGGTACCCAATAAAAAAGAAATAAATTAATGTGGTGCGGAGCACAAAATATTTTCTATATTACATCTGTCAGTGACTGTTCATTGCGGTGCAGTCAATACAATCGACGAATCCATATTCAAAATAAAAGTCATTTGAATTTTAAGTTCTGCAAAAATAAAATCTGCAATAAAGCGAACACAGGAAACTCCCTCTTTCTGAGGAGCTTCAGGGGTCAGAACCTCGACATAAAACCCCTTACCACGTGATCTGTTTCTTGTCGTCAAGTTTTGCTTTAGCGGCTTTGATCATATCGCGTACTATCTGTACGACTTGAGCTGGACGCGGCTTCACTCGACGTTGAAACCCATGGTCTCTTCGATAGCTGTTATCACCTTGTTTCGCATCACCTCGAATGATTCGTACTCGGGGAGATCCAGTCGGTTGAAGCTGAAAGGGAAAGAAAGAGTTAAATAACTAAGCTGTTTAAGAATTTTATCATATTAGTAAAATGAATGACGTAAAAAATAAATTTCTGTCTTGGATACATTCAATAACCATGTAAACAAATTATGTAAGAATTACTGCTTGACAATAAATGTGTATTAATGACATAATATTATCAAATCGACTGGCATTTAGAATAGTTCTGGAACATACCAGGTCATGGCTTTGGGTAAACTGCCGCTGCTCATGCTGCAAACGAGGTGAATGGTAAAGGGTCTAGGTCCGGAGTTAACGGTAGAACTGCCTCTTAGTCCGGAGAATCCGGAGATTGGGACTCTGGAAGATCCGGTTACAAACTGAAGGAGTCTGGCTCGTTTCTCGTTGTCCATCTCTTCGATAATCTAGAAATTTTAGGGTTAAGCCATTGGAACAAAAATCGCTGGTCAGTTAATAAGAATGGCAGGTACCGCAAATCAATGGCGCAATTCAGGATAAGAGATCAAAATGCGGATAACATTCCACAAATAACTGGTGACTTACCCTCCAGAACCACTTGACGATGTTAGATTCAGGGGAACATCCCTTGAGTCGGGTGTTTGCTCTCCAGTCGTCCACATCAACGTGTCCCAGTCCGCACACTATCAACTCCAACTCTTTCTCGTCAAAAGCTGCGGAGTGGCAGTGTGGTTAGTACTAAGTAGTTGTTTAATGTGGCATGGTTCACCAAGAACAGTCACGTGGTTACTGGTTAGTACTCATAACTGGGTCAACTTTAAGTTTCGAGATGTGAAATATTATAAACCTTAAAACAACTTAATGGTTGAAAAGCTTTTTTGATTTAAATGCCAGATAACTGTGAATGCACACATTAAGATTTAAGAACATCACGAGTAACAGTTCTTTTCTTGATGCAAAAAGAAGCTCACCTGAGAGCAGATGTTTAGGAACAACTTCATAAAAGCCCTTTTGTAAAGCTCCAGTCTGTTGTTCAGTTCCGTTTTTCAGTCTCCACTCCACGTACAGATCCACGTATTCCTTCTTGTTAGTCTCTGTTACCCGTTGCTCTTTGCCTCCCGGTAATAGTTCGTATTCACAATGTCGTCCAAATGAGTCGTGGTCGATTGTAAATGTCTGAACGTGATATAGTGTTAAAATATCTGGTCATTAGATTCGACTTCCGCTCGAAAATTTTACAAAGTAGATAATCCCAGCGCAACAAAAAGTGATTTCTCGAATTAATTAGCCAAAAATGTTGCGCTCACCTGATCCTCGAAGATGCTGGACACGTCATTTTCCAGAATCCACTTCATACTCTTATAAAAGGCAGGATCCACATTTCCATATCCTCCACAGTACACTTCCTTCCCAGCAACTGTTTGTAGAAGGGTAGGGTGAACCCGGCGTCTATGTAATGACCGTGGAAAATGGCCATGCCAACAATCCTCCCAACAAAGTAGAAGTAGCTTATATGATCAGGGTTGATGGAAGAGTTAGGGTTAACTTCCAGGGTGTAGATATCCTCCCGGGAGTATTGGAACAGTCCGTAGTAAGGGTTCAGCATCTCGTGGGAGAGCAAGTAGAGCCACTCTCGAGCAACACCGCCGTAGTCCAGTCCTTCTTCCCCTCGGAACTTGATCATGAGCCGCTTGCGGAGGTCCCTAACTCGCAGGTTCATTACTTCCCGGTAGGAATCCTCAAACACGTCCTCCCTCGTTACCTCGATTCGACAGTACCCGCTAGGTGTTTGCAGTTTAGCTAGCTCTGAGCGCAGGATTTTCAATTTGTTTACTAGACCACGCTTATTACGGATCATAGCCATCTGTTCCTCGCTGGTGGGTATCGTGTTGTTCAGCGGTCTGGGAATGGAAGGTAATTAGATTTTCAGTAACAGAGATTTCAAGATTTACTATTGATGATTCTAGACGAGAAACATCTTGTTCTGATATTTGATCATACCCATCATACTTGAAATACTAGACTAAATAAGACTAATTTTTTCGGGCGTTTTAAAACATTCCGCAAATATAGCAATTTAAACAAAGAAACCAGCTCAGAAAAACCAGTTACCTGGGCACGATAGAATTCGAATTATCGGTAGGATGCTGGTTTTCATCGCCAATCCTGAGCGGTGGGAAGGCAGGATTGTTGTTGCGCTCTGCTTGTTCAAGGGGGGATATGGTCAGAGGGGGTGGTCCAGGACTGGTTGTGGTTGGGGCGACTGCAGAGGGGAGGCGTTAGTTAAAAGTCAGTTAGTGCAGAGTATTCGACTGTTTCGATGTGAAACTTATCAGCCATGAAAATTACAGATTATGTGTTATTGAGCAGTGATATATTTATACTCTATTGAACCTTAACTTTACACTACAAACCTGGCGTTAAAGGAGAAGGAGGAGGAAGGTTGGAGGAGAGGGTAGAACAGGTATCAATACTGTTCAGAGAACCTCTACCCTCCAGACCATTGGACCCCATGGTGCTGTTCCGACCTAGAGATCCAGTACTGCTCTGACTATTAGTAGTTGTGACGTAGGTAGCTGGTAACGTTCTGAGGTAGTGTGGGCATGTCACGTGGTGTAGAGATACCAGAGTATTTGAGATCTCTTTAATCAGTCGGAATACATGATTGATTGGGGGTGTTTGATTGAACACTCGTGCTTCAGCGCAGGAGTTTGATTAATCTACATTCTCTGATTGAACTGTGTTAATAAAACGAGCGCTGGAGTAATATGTTGGCGCTTCGCCACAGTTTATACACTGTTTGAGGCATTATTTATCATGCAATAAAAGAGTAAAGCTCTCTCTCTCTCTTTCTCTCTCTCACTCTCTTTCTCATCAAAAAGAACATGCCGCAATTGCAGAGAGGACCCCCTTACTCGATCCTCTGTTGTCTAGACCGATTACTGTAACACGTATTAAAACGTTCAGCTCAAACATTCAGCATACATAATGATTTGAAACTTGCAACATGGCACATACTGAAATTAGTAAGAATGTGCTACATACTAAACGGAATCTGGACACAAATTAAGCTGGCAATCGGGAGATAATTCCTCTTTCTCTGCTCAGACGCAGGACGACAAGAATTTGCATTCATATGACGAGTAGTACGATCTCTATTTTATGAACTTCTAACATAAAAAAGCGATCTAATGATGGATATCAGTAGGTTTGAATGTGTAGATTAGGGTAAACATGTAGTAACGTATCCCAACATACCTATGACGACTATAGATATGCCGCAACATTCTATACCGGCTGTGGAGTTTTTTTTTGGAAAAAGTGTTTTTTTTTGGAAAAATGGGAGTTGATGCGTGCTTAAGAAATAAAGGCATATGAAATCGAGCCAAACTAGCAAAACCTCGAAAACTAACGAAGATTACCCAAATAATTGAAATAAGTTCATTGGCATACCTGCTTTCTGGCGATATTGGAGCTAGCTGCTCCACTCTTGGGTCTTTGAACTGTGTCGTTTTGGTGTTGTGATCCACAAAGTAGGGTCTCCCATTAGGAGCCATCCTGAGCTCCCAGCCCGGAGGCAAAGGCCCCAACTCCTCGGATATTGGCATATGCCGGGGGAAGCGTGGGTCGTGGAACGATTGGGCTCCAGTCAGTCTGTTGTGGTAATACACTTGCCCTCGTGGAGTCACACATTTTACTGAAATGTCTTTTGTCATGGCGAGAATTAACAGTGTGATGTCATGGTGACTGATGATAAATATAGGATATAATATAGGATGCAGTGAGTTAAGGGAAAATCATGTGTTAGTAGAGTTAAGAGAGAGAGAATTACAGATTTTCGATGCGCTTGAATGTTACTCATGGTGGCCGGAAGTTTTTAGCCAGCAGACTACAAGACCACTGAACATTTAAAACCTTCCGGACGAAATTTAAATTTGGCGGAGCGCCAGACTAAATCGGACAAACACCATTCAGACGTATCAAATTTCGTTTGTCCGTGCGCCAAATTTTGCTTAATTTTCGCAACTTTCTGCAACGGCGTCCTATCCGCGCGTTCCGTTAAAAGTACAAATTTGACGGCGAATGTCCCGTGTTGAAGTTAACTAATTTGACGAAGAGTTCATCAAATTGGGTGCTAGAAATGCAAAAACCGGGCTTCATCAATCTCTAATGAAACTTTCTGACTCACACGAGAGGGCCTAAAAGTATACCCAGCCAACAAAATTACTCCTACACCGACTATATACGTATCCATACTTGCAGAGCGCGAAACCTCAACCACTTCTTTTATTTAGTGCCAGTCACGGAAAACGAACTGACGTCTTAATACCTTTAACTAATTCTCAGGACAATTTCTCTATGGCATGTAATTAAAGGTTGGTTGCTAAGGGTTGTTGCTAAGTTACTTGGACAATAGGTCGACTTCTCGGGCCGCTCAAGTTTCTCTTTAACTCACATAGTCTTTGGTACGTTGGCTGGTAATTACTTACTAGCCCCTAATTATATATTAGCCCCTAGGCGTGCGTACCAATTAACCTTCATGCAAGCCTAATTAGGTAGATATACAGAAGTATGCACCCTCGTCTACACAGCGTGTAAAGTCAGTGTACCGTTTAAAAGATAAATGGAGAAAGGTTAACAGGTAATCTTGCAGAAGAGTGCTGTGATGTATATTATCATATATATCCCTTTAAATATGCAGAATATTTAGCATAGTTTCTGAATAGAATTCCAAACTACATTCTCAACCCCAACATCATAGCTACTGTGCAGCAGAGATAGAATATAGCGGTAGTTCAAAGAAGATCAAAAGAAAAACCAGAAAGAAAAGAATCTCATATTGTTATCACACGAGAGGTAGCTTTTTGTTATATACCTATAAACTGAGAGAGATCAGTGGTTGAACCTGAATAAAAACATCACATTTGACACATTTTTATATACAAAATTGTGGAACCTCAATATGCGATTATGCGTGGAATTTCAGTGTGGTCATGGTTATTTGTGAGGATTTTTAAAGAAATTGTGGTGAGCACAGTTATGTGGAGAGTTTCTACTGACAGTGTTAAAGCCCAGAGGAAGATTACGTCATCAAAAGTGTATTATTGTGGGGCTCACGTCAAAACTTGGAGATGAGTAGCAGTGATATAATTCCCCAAACTAAGTCAGCGTGAAAACAACAGTGATACTAATTGGTACTGTCAGTGAAACAGAGAGGAACACAATGTTGTCACTCACAAGGTGATTTGAGCTTGTGCTATGTTTAAAAATCTAATGAAAGTGGACAATAATGCCATGAGGTTAGTAGATAGGTGCCCCACGTCTCTTAGAATTGTGAAGTGACCACTGGTTACTGGTTACTGGTTACTGGTTACTGGTTACTGGTTACTGGTTACTGGTTACTGGTTACTGGTTACTGGTAACATCTACTACAAGCAGATAAACTGACACTCAGTGCTGACTACTAAAACACTCAGTGCACTCAGTACGTACCTATAACAGGAAACTGTCCGTACAACTCTTGGGAGTGTTAGGATGAAGTGAGCTCCTGTTCAGATAGTGTTGTCTCCTGTTAGCCAGGTTGTTGTCTCGCATTATTATGTTAGGTTCCGTGACCCGCCTTCGGTCCAGCTGAGCGTACTCGTATGCTGACCTGAAAATGGGAGGTTTAATTATCTGATTAATTAGTTATTAATTATCTGGTTAAAACTTTAGATTTAGTTTGAAAATGTGGACCTGATCTGAGGAATTGAGCTACAGACCCTAGGGCTAAGATAAGCGATTTAAATGCAGATACAGTATGCTATCATGGGAGTTACTGATGTTTAGAAGATGGTTATGTTAAGACATTTAATAGAAAATTTACTTCATCATGACTGGTAGTGGACTTTACAGTTTACAAGGACTAAGAGCAAATATTCTTGACAAAACATGTGATTAGAAATCAACCAGTTATAAGCAATTGTTTTAGTCACGTGCCATGTCGACGACCAACACGGCTGGGATCAACGCACAAATCCGGGCCAGTCACCACAAATCATTCTCGTAATTTATATGAAAATTTTCGAGGTTGAAGACCGAAAGTTAGCGGCCTTATATTTCGTGTCTAAGAAGAGGATTTAGTGCCGAAAAAAGATCAGAAGTTGAGGGAGAAACATGAGAATTTGGCGGTCTAACTGATTAAAAGTAAGGGAGATGTGTGCAGCTTAACAATGGGCTATTTACAAGAGTTAATATTATTATCACATGTGATACCGTGTAATGTTGTAGCTAGACAGCAGTAATATTATGTGCATATTATCATACCGACTAGATAAACAAACATGTTGGCACATGTTACACACACAACACATCAATTATAGTACAACAACAATAATAACAGGTGCTCACAAACAACATCCCGCCAAAACATGTTCCAACTGAAGTATGTCACATATTTAACATACCCGTCTCTCCCATATCCTTAGTCCTTATCTAAATTCCAAAACAATCCAGCCCCCAATTCGCACATGTACAGCTGGCGAGGTGGACTGCTGACTGTTCGCTCTTATCTCCCTTATCACTACTTAGTATAATTGTGTTACTGGCCGCCTGTCTGCTGCGCTGCAAGGCATGACCTGCCCGTGCTTTTAGACAAGCCCCAGTTAATATTTTAATTCGAGCTCTTCGACAGGACAGGTTAAAGTTTTAAAGTTTTTCTGTAAATTTCACACTCGCGAGTCAATGTTAGTTTAGGCGAGCTGGAGAATACGGGAATTATTGAGTGACCTTAAACCTTGAGGGAGTTGTTAGACTCACAGACTCCTGTGGAATGTGGATTATGGAGAGGCAGACAATAATACCGGAGTCACCGCTACACTTTGCAAGGCGAAATATAAGTATGACACACCGCACGGATATCAAATTATAGACCGAATAAGAAATCGTTTGGAAGAATCGGTGAATGTTTTGTGTTACAAATTAGGCTTTATCTGAGTTTAGGTCGGTCGTAATGCGGGTGGGAAAACAGGAACATGATTTTACTTGCCTTTTACCTGAGTTTTGACAGTGAAGAGTCAGGTCATGACAAGTTGGGACAGAATGGGGACATGATTGTGGACCTTAAATTCGATCATATTGTGATTATATGTTGGCAATAATAAAATCATACAGCGCAGCAAACATAAACAATCCTGTGATTATTCTAGACAGCAAACAGGACTTTTAAAAGCACGGGGATTAGGTTTAAGGGAGATTTTGTTTTAAAGGGTATGCTGTGATTGCTTGCAGTAAAACTTCTTCAAAGCTTGATTCTTTATAGCTTACATTCCACAAGGTATTGCAATGTCTAATTTTTTATTGTAAAGCGAAAAAGATCAAAAGATTAAAGATTAAAAAAGAAAGATCAAAAGATCAACTGTCAGGATTTATATCAAGTGTTTAATTGAGGGCTAACTAGTTCTACACACATTTTCTTTGTCCTCAACTCAGTTACATAATAATAATAATAAATAACTTAATATATTAATCGTGTGCCTGGATAAAGAAAAACATTAAATCTTTACATCGGACTATCCTGATAATCAGAAACAATCTGTCGATTAAAGAAACTTATTATAAATATTATGTTATATATAATATATCTCACATACACTTTACACTTACTGAGATAGGGAGGGATCATATCCAATACTGTCCTGTATCACTCTGAAACACATAAATATTCACACTTCAGCTTTACAACAACACATCATTACACAAGTTTTACACAAGTTTACACACATGATATATAATATATATATGTTACACACACACACACACACACAACATGTAGACTCTACACACAAACAGACACACACACACACAACATGTAGACTCTACACACAGACAAACAGACACACACACACACAACATGTAGACTCTACACACAGACAAACAGACACACAAACACACTCTCTACACCAGTACAGCTGCTAGAGAACATCTCTCTTCCTCAACTCGAATTAACACTGCTGCTACCTCCAACACATACGTTACGATAATTCGGGAGACACAACTGGTGGACCAATCAGGGCTCGCTCTTCCACCCACGTGTCACCATGACAACCAATCACGGCACAGAATCAGGGTCACGTGACATTGTCAATTGGAGCGTAATGAGGATGTTATTTAATAGCTAAGCTAATTCATTGTCACCTCCAAAATTGCGATATATTATATAATATGTTGTGCAGGAATGTGGCGAAGGACGGTTTGGATCGCGCCCTCAAAACTTCTTGCCTCGTTAATGGAAACGTATTAAAATATTTCATCCGAGACCAGCCTCATATTGACACGAAAATAACACGGCTAAAACCAAGCCTACGTTCTACAAAACATCTGTATTCTGTACCGATATCAGACGTACAGTTGTCAATACTACTTGTCATTGTAAGTGATAATATGCAGTTATAGGCCACGTGATCTATCGTATTATCGTTATGATTGCAAGAACGAATCCCTGCAGGACAGAGCGGAAGAGCATGAGGATTCGCTCCAGCGACAATAGATGTGTTTTATCAATGGATGTTTCCTTGATCCTTTCACCCAACCATTTTCACAGGAGATGCTCTCACAAAACTGTGAGTCATCGCGTGGGAGCATTGATAAGAAGAGTAGACAATAGAGACTTGTTCACACATCATTTCACCCTTCATTATATTATATCTCCTAATCAATTATCTAATTACTTTACAAGATAACGGCTACTAGATCCCTGTTCAACCAACCATTAAAACCGGTTAACTGCAACACATCGTGGGTAAGATGTTTTTTATCCTAATCAAATTGTCTATAAATAAAACATTAGTGCAACCGGCGTCAGGGAAAAAAGGCTCAATTCTAAAAGTGTTCTCCACAGACAAATACACCGCTTTTCAATTTTTATCCATCCTTTGATAAATAATCTTCAAAGTCTAAAGCTTGATACATTATGTAGCAATCCTTTGAACTATCAAATGCATATCGCAATGTTGGAACTATAATTGAATCTGGATACAGTATCGTTGAAACACGACAGATTTTAAGACAGAAACTCAGTTTGACAGTTTCCTGTTAGCAATCAGCAGATTATATATAATATAATCCCGGAAGTAGAAGATCGATGTTTTTAAACAGAGATCATACTTTGAAATATATCTAGATCTCAGCTGCTGAGTGCCCTCTGCTAGGCGCTGTAACTGCTCACAATTTGAAATGTGGGCTGCAGCAGCAGCAGCAGATATAATATTTACAGTACAAGTATTAGATCAGATCATGTGCTTTTGTAAATGGACTCTTGTCTTATTACTATTGTCTCTTTCTATCTTCATGGCCTCCCGTAATTGGGGTGGGCTCTTGTAATTGGTCTACAATCCATGATATAAAGTAATTAGTAATTACAAAGTAAACGACTGTTCATTTTGCGGATATTCATTTTGCGGATGACATAACATGTGTTTTAACATACAGTGGCTCCAATGTTATGTCTAGGGTAACTCTCACGTCACCATCATCACCAGGGGTACTCATTGTCCGCTAAAGTAAAATCACAGATATGACAGAACGAGCAAGTTTCTTATTCAATCACAATGAAAATCCGGAATAATCGTCATACTCGGACAATCGGACGAGGGACATGAGTCATGACCATCTGATCCCAAGTGCATTAAGGGTTATGTTGGGGTACAGCTTGGTACGATACGAGGACCCTATAATTCATATATATATCATATATATATTTATAAATCCTGAGTAATCCAAGCGTTCGCGTTAGCTAAAAATTCAACACATTTGAGAAATGAAAATTGGGGACATATTAGGTAATGTTAATGCAATAAGTAATAGCTATGAAACCCAATCAGTGCATAATAACTGGTATTTATACTGAAACCCCTGATCGCTGATAAATATACTCCAAACAGTCTCCAGATATCACAATATCTATTTACAAACACTGAACTGGTCGTTTGCGCAATACAACAGTGTTACCTTATAAGTGTACCAAAACGAACCCATCATAATAATAGACACTATTTATAGCGCAATCCTTAGTTTCTCAGTTTAGAATTCTAGTCGGTTAGAACTGACCAGTTTACCGATTACTTGAAATTGTCCTCTACAAACAAGAACCCAGGGTTGTCCTGTAAGTCACATACAGTAATAATGTCCTGTAAGTCACATACAGTCCTGTAAGTCACATACACTATACAGGTCGTGGTGATGACAGAGGTATGGTTTAAAGAGAGAACGGGGGTTCAGCTGTGTAGGATACGTGTAAAGAGCTGAACATATTACTAAACAGTTCAAATAATAAGTGTTAACTGATCCGTAGTGTTAACTGATTTTCAGTGGGTATCATAGCAAGATCACACCTCGCCGACAAAGCAAACAGTATCACGCCTTTAACACATTCTACAGTACTACACTGATGGTGGTACACTGTAGACACTGTAGACACCGTAGACAGGGTAGATTACCAGTGTAGACTATCAGAGAGATTGTGTAGGAAAACTAACTTGTCTCCCCTCTAGGCTCGAACACCAACGGTTAGTGCTGGGCCTCCACTACCGGATGTCACTTGGTGAAGGTATGCAGGATTTTACACAAATATCAGAGTATATTACACATGAAATATCACTAGAATTATAAATATCA